TTTTGTATAAAAATATTAATTTACATGTTTTAATTAAACTATTAATGAAATAATATATATTTGAAAAATTATTAACAATACTAAATAAAAAAATGTTCTGGTTCTAGTCTATTCGAAACTTAAAATGAGGTAAAAAAATCGGAAATTTTCATTTCTATTAACTTTATTTATAGTTTATATGATATAAATTCAGCCACACTTTTGCCCACACTAAAGTCACACTAGTGCGAATTCGCACCGATCGGACTTTTCACACTGTCTAGTTTGACCGGCAATTAACAGACTAAGGCCAGCTGTGATACGGCGCGACTGTTTGGGCTATAGAAGGAATTAACGTTGGTGCGAATTCGCACTAATGTGATCTTTGAGAGTTAAGAATTCCTTTTATATAAAAATAAAGCATTCTAACCTTACTTTATATATATCTTATATTATACAGACGCCACCAGCCTTTATCTAAAGATTTATGAAGTTCAGTGAAGTTTTTCTTTATACGAGTTAAAAACTCGGGATAAAACCCGAAACTATCGTTATAAATAATGTATAAATGAATAATAGTTTTATAAACTAAGTGTTTATTTTGACCAGACACCCAGAAAATAAATAATTTTCAAGAATTAATTATATGGTCAGTTTATTTAAGTTGATCCTTTTTTTATATAAAACGTGGTATTTTTGTAGCAGACATATTGTAGAATCGTATGTATAGGTTCTCAGTAGGAGAAATCGATCTATTATGAATCAAATAAAATGTTTCAGACAAATCCTAAGTAATTTTACAAAGTTAATTTTGGCACAAATGTTTTTCTCCCGCGGAATTATTAAATTTTGTTTATTGACATTTTTTCCGTAGGGTGCTTATTTCTCGTGATATTTTAAAGTTTCAGGTTAAAAAATGACCCTTTATATCAAGTTAAAGAAATCATTCAAATGGTTTACAAGTTATTTAAGATCCGTTGCCGATAGGTCACCCTCAAGCTGCTATATCTTCGCAGGGGGTCAAAATTGACCTCTAATTTATTCATTATGTTTTGAACAAGAAACATTCTGTAAAATAATTGCCTATCTTATTAATCCATGACTTTTTTTATTGAACTTTTCACTTTCTCCCACTAAAAACCAATTAAGTTGACCTCATGACACACCTACAACGTAACTTACTACGTATATGCGTAGAAGAGACATTCTTAACAGGAAAATTTTTCCGATAAAGCAGTCGGTTAATCCTCGATTAATCTTAACCTAGAGGGGGAACTAGAACATAAGATTTAATGATATAATGTGAAAGACGAACTAATTAATGATGAAACAGTCGTGTACCGTGAAGTGACTTGATATAGATAATAATAGTTAATAACGCGAAAACGAATAAAGAAATAGTATCCAGTCATTGTGAAGAAATGATAGGTGGTCTACTATTATTGGAAGGAGTTAATTAAAAATTAGTGGTAATTATTTATTGATTTAAAAATACCCCTTTTTGTATTTGGATAGTTCTATTTAGGTATTTTGTATTTTACTAACTGACAATTGTTACAGGATATCCATCAGTTGTAAAGAATTTGAGTAAGATGCCCAACACTCAACAGAAGGCTTTGAGGAAAGTTAGCATCAATGAAGATATAGGTCACGATAACCTGGGCTTTGAAAATCATCATTTTCGGAAAATCTCTTCGATTTCCCATGGTACCCCCGAAGAAAGAATCAGGAAAAAAAATATCATACATGAATCGAACGGTCCGAATAGTTCATCGAATTTAAATGGTAAGTTAAAATTATAATGATAATGAGTTTGTTTGTACATCACACAAAACAGTAGGTAGTGAGTTAATAATATACTAGCATTTGGCCAAATTTTCCTTAGTTTAAAA